ATTGAAGGACCCAAAAGTCTTCAGTGTCTATTTGTATTTCGATCAAACTTCTCTGATTGCAGCACTTTTTCTACGCATAGTGAATTGGTTTCACATTACAGAAATCAACGATTAAAGTCATTTGATGATATTCGCAACTATTTGATTGAGTTTGATAGTTTAGTCAAAATTGATACCTTTTTTATATTAACTGCTGAACATGAATTGTTTATTCATCTCTGAAGAAGTGGAACTTGGGAATTCAAACTTACCACGTCGACAATTTGAAATGTTTTACTGAAATGTAGGAAAATAAAAAATTGTGATATGTGTTGTTGCAAATGCTTTGCAAATACGACTTGTGGAAGTAATGCTAAATTTTTTTAGATTTCATTTTACATATTAGCCACTTTTCCTTTTTCTCTACTACGTATGTATATTTCATTTATTTATTCATTATTAATTTTTTTTTGCGAAATAAATCCTTAATTTTCTGTTCCGTTTTACTTTACCATTATGGTTCTTGTCCTTGTATCATCGATTTTCACCATACATACGGCCGAGCATAATTGTATACCATCGGCAAATAATTGCGTCCCATTTTAGTTGTTGTGAAAAGGAATATCATACTTTGTGAATAACATGATTGGTTGTTAAAATAATAATTTTTTCTTCCAGATTGCCAGATGTTCTTAGTTCAACAACGATTTACCTTTTTATTGGTGCAAACAATGAAACGATGTTTTGGAAGAGGAATTGTTTCGGTTATTGCTTCGTTATATCTTTAACTTCTCATTTTATTCCCAGCACTTTTTGCTGTTATGCTACAAATAATTCGGCCACAGATTTCTCATTTTCATTATCTCCACTCATTTTTCCTAACTTTTCACTTTTCCTGTAATTTGTTCTTCACACTCGATTTTATCATTTTTTTTTATTTTATTCACTACCTTTCTGAAGAAGAGTTAACAGGATGCAAGTCTTTCAGTGTAAAATCAGAAAGCTGAGAATGCAATGAAAATATCGATTCCTGATTTTATTACCATCTTTTTTTACTTATTATTTGTTATTGTAACGTATTCATTCCACATTTCCTTACAGAGTTGTGCAGTTCGTTCTCAACGGAAGATGAAAGTAACGGTAATACCAGGTGATGGCGTTGGTTCAGAACTTATTGGTGCAGTGCAACATATTGTGCAAAGCACAGGAATACCATTGGAGTTTGAAGAAGTTTTCTTGAGGTCACCTTTTTTCTGAATTTATTAAGAAATCATTAGAATGCTGATAGATTTATGCGCTTTATCAATTTTTAATTGCTTATCAGGCATTTAAACAAAAGTTTCTGAATATATCGATCCTGATAATTCTAATTAGGTAGGAGCCATGTCCTTTGTTAATCTGCTACGGAATAGTTATGACCAGCATTAATAGATAATTAAATTAAACTAAGCAGTTGAAAGATAATGCCGATTTTCATTCTAGAAAGTTTGTGCATAGATGTTATAGGTATATTTACCACTAGCAGTTTTGCTTTTATTCTCGCATATATTGGCATACATTTGGATGTATAGGACATGTATTTTTTGCAGTGAAATTCAACATCCACGTTCGGCAAGCCTTGAAGATGCCATTAAAACCATTAAAAAAAATAATAACGTGGCGCTGAAGGGTGCAATTAAGGAAGCGGAAGCGATAGCAATCGACACTGACAGAGAAGATATCAATCGAGCATTAAAAAAAGGTCTTGACCTTTTTGCCAGCGTTTCAAATATTAAAGTTAGTATACATTTTAAACACTTCATTTAAAACTTTGGATTTTAGTTCTAATTTCGAATGTTATTCGAGTTCTGCCATATCAGCCACTTGGTAAATGGTTATTGCAAATGCCGGTTGTGAAGTTCATTACAATTAACATCAATCCATAATTCCTTAACCGCACTATATTCATGTTGCTTTTCCTACTCATCTCTCCCATTGTTTGGTGATTGATATGGTAATTAATCTCCCAATACTTTATTTTTTTCAGCAACAAGAATCCCATAAAACGTTCTCTTATGTAATTTTCTTTTCAAATCCTCATATTTATTTAGTTTCAGTTGAATTTAATTTAAATTTTGATTTTGAATTTTAATCTTTTACATTCGTATATGTTTTTTGAATTTTCAGAGTTTAAGCGGGATCAGAACACGGCATCAAAAAAATCTGGATTTCGTAATTATTCGTGAACAAACAGAAGGAGAATATTCATCGTTGGAACACGAGTTGGTACCTGGTGTTGTTGAATGTCTTAAAATTTCCACAGAGGAAAAGTCGCATCGGATAGCAAAATTTGCTTTTGATTACGCTACGAGATTTGGTCGGCATAAAGTCACGGCTGTTCACAAAGCAAATATTATGAAATTGGGTGACGGACTGTTTTTGCGAACTTGTGAAGAAGCTAGTTTATTAACTTGTCAAGCCTGATTTGCTTTGTGAAGACGAATTTTAAATATGTATTATTTCCTTAATATTTGAAACTAGTATTGAAAATAATTGAATAATACAATCAGTGTTTAATTATTCTTGGTAATATACTTTTATATTAATAATTATATGCTTGCTTCAAACAATCATATTCATCACAAGAACTACAAAAGTGTGCATGTTACTAACTCGGTTCTTTGATTTTCCAAAATTCGAACCTTTCTTTCAAAATAGTATGAAAGCTTATCGTTTACACTTGTTAACTACTGAATTTTTGCAAGCTTAGTTATTTACAAATGTTTGTGGAACGTAAAATGTTATATTGATTATTTTAATTACATCAAGTCTGACAATTTATTCCAGGTTTCAAAATTATACCCATTTATCAAGTTTGAGTCGATGATTATCGATAATTGCTGCATGCAGTTGGTATCTCAACCTGAGCAGTTTGACGTGATGGTTATGCCCAACCTTTACGGTAATATTGTTAGTAATTTGGGAGCTGGCTTAGTTGGAGGTGCTGGAATTGTTGCGGGTCGCTCAATTGGATCGGATGCAGTTATTTTCGAACCAGGTGCCCGTCATGCTTACGAACAAGCATTTGGAAAGTGTGTGATATTAATTTTCAAGTTTTTCGTGTTGTATAAAACGATTTTTCTTTCCAAATATTCATACAAATTTATTTTTTTTAATAACTTTGTTTCTATGCTTTCAGGATTCTTTGCTCAATTACCATCAGTTTTTACATTTCATCTATATCGATAATCTATTGCTTTTTCAGACAAATTGCAAATCCAACTGCAATGATTTTGTGTTGTGCAGATTTGTTACATCATTTACGATTGCAAAAATATGGTGCTGCTCTCCGATCGGCCACTGAAGCTGTGATTGCCGAAGGCAAAATAAGAACTCACGATCTTGGAGGTTTTTCATCAACGCTGGAGTTCACGGACGCCATAATTCAGAAATATACCTTATGATGATTTCAGTGGTCATACTTAATAATGAGTGCATACCCCAAGATATTTAGGCATAATGCGGGAATATTTCTGTGATTTTGTATCATATCTGAGATGAGTTTTTTTGTTATGCTTTGGCACAACTTTGTTTCTTTTTAATTGACATTCTATACTTACACTTTTTAAAAATTAATTTAATCTAAAGCACCTCAGTGATGATATCGACAAATAACAGACATTTTTTGGTTGTTTTCGGTCATCCAATTTCTATATATTATATGAAAACATACAAGTGGACTTTACTTTTCATATTTATTCAATACATCGTAGACAGTTGTTGCCTGTAATCGTCGGTCTGTCTTCATCTATGCCATGAAATAATTGAAATAGCAATACTTGTGATTTTTTTTTGTGGCATATTTTCTTTCTAAGTTAGTACCTTTCTTCAGAATTTGTTTCAATTCAATTATTTCTTTCTTTGTAAATATTTATTTTCGTGTCAAATATGCGAATATGGTCATTTTCTAGGAAAGTACGTCATTTAACATTTTTGTGGCGGTTCCGTGAATATCAAACACGAAATATTGTAATATATTGAAATATGTGCAATATGATAAATTTGAAGAAGAATCGGATTTTACAGACAGCGAAGGGAAGCGACTGCAAATATAACACTATGATGGACATTAGAAATGGCTTTTGGTACTCGAAGATCTGAAATTAAATTTTTAAATTTATCCGCATGAGAGAAGGCGGAAAGTGAAGTATCAAGTCAAACTTTTCACTAAGGAATGAGTTGCCAGAATTTGCTTACTTGAAATTTCCTGGGAATCTGGGACCCGAGATTTGCGACATTTACTAGTACATATTTAATAGAATTCTCTTTAGTATGGTAGTGATGGCTACTACTGAATGGATAATGAAACGGGAAAAATAAAACAGAGGTTTCTAGTTTAAAATGTTTGCGCAAATTTAATAAATTGCAGGCATTTCCGCAGAATGTTACCTCGACGAGGACTCAAGCTGTGGTTCTTCAGCACTTAACAATATTATGATCACCATTGTCATTGTCATTTTTTCTTTCCCCAATTTCCCGTCTATTGAGACTTAGGTGGTTAGAATTTCCCGTCAGGCACTTCCGTCTAAGAAACGCTCTAAAAAAGATGAGACGACAGGAACGCTTTAAAAAATATGGGACGAGACATTTTTATGGGTAAGTAACGGTAAAGTAGATGAACACCTTGAGACGAGAGGTTTTCATAGGTGGTGTTTGTTTTCATTCGAGATTTTAGTTTGTTGATGGTACTGTTTGGCATAGGCGGGAACAGAGGAAGGCATTTCGGACATTTAGAAAGAGGCATTCAGTCTCTTCTTTTTCAATTCGATTCATTTGTATGGAATCGGAATCTAATTATGAATATTAAATTAACGAAATATAAATTGTGGTATGAAGTGAAGTTTAGAGGGCAAATATCAAATTGCTTTGTATATTAACAAGTTTTACTGAACTTCGAAGTTCATTTAGAGAGATTACTTGATGAATGATTTATTAACAATCGCTCGTCGATTACAATAAATATCGCTCACTTCAGTGCATGAATGTCATTTGTGGAAGCGGAGGGAAACGCTGCCTCGTCTGCGACAAATAGTGAGGAATATGAAGATGCCCAAGACGAGCTACGGCCACTTCCTGAGCGTTCTATGTTGATAATTGGTATCGGACGTAGCAGTAATCATCCGTCTCGCCGTGATTCATTACCAAATGAAAGTGAAATAAGTGATGCGGCAATCAACAAGCAACCAACGCTGTCGTCGCAGTCTGAAAATATCTCAACTTCGTCTATTTCCTCATCGCTAAAAGTAAAAATGTCATTTTGTGATCAAGTTTTATATTTTGATGGTTGAGTAACTAAAATTGGTAAGGTATTCCAAATATATGCGTCACGGTATTTCCTTCCTATGTATGGAGTCATTATCTAACTCAGCTGTATGTACATTATTCATATTTGCTGGCAGGAGAAAGTTTTTTTATATGCAAATAGGCATATGTAAAGTTCTACGTTGCTTCAGTGAATAAAAATGTAAGAAGTAATTTTATTCCTTATACAGGATGATTCGTTTATTCTTTTTCTTCTTTGATAAGATTATGTTCAAAATTTTTATTCGTCACTTTGTTTCGTTCATTATTATTTTTGCTCATTTTGCTTTGCGTTCTTTCATTTTTTCAGGATGGTGTAGCGGCGGATCGTCGGTATCGTTTAGATGCTTTACGGAATCGAATGACTAGTGAATTTGGGTCAGGACATACGTTACTGAACACTAGTGTTGGTGGTTACACAGATGATGACACCGGTTCAGCAAGTGAAAGTGCGTCTTTGGCATCCTGGGGACGTAATCTACTTATACAAGCTCCTTATGCGAAGATGAAATTAGTATATCCGGCTGATACAATTAGCACGAAGGCTTTTTCCAGCCACCATAATCTAAGCAGGTAAAATTGTAATATGAAGTAGATATGGGAAGAATCGTGTTTCACGTTTTCGAACATAACAGTTTATAAAGCTTCACGAGATCAAACATAACTGTTCATGAGCTTTGCCAGATCAAAAAGTAACACTTCATCTTCCTTTTTAGGGTTCTAATCTGACGATAGTAGACCATGATGCAGAAAGTTTGGTAAAACAATTTTCAGCGGGACAGACTCGTTCTCACAGAACACTAATTTCGGTAACGATAATGGATCGAAGAATGTGGAGTCAATACCACCACCTCATCCTCCATCATCGTCATTCATAAAAATATCATATGATAATACTGCCTTCGGTGTAATACTCCCTCCTCCTCATAGTGTTCCTCCGCCATTACCACCGAGAAAGCCGTGCGGAAGACTTCCTAATGCCCTTTCACCTCAACAAGTGGATTCGCTTATTGGAAAAGGGTATGTTCCAGTTTCTTCCCACAATTTTAATGTTTTGTTATTTTATTTACTGTTTATCTTAAAGGAAACTAATTTCTCGTGTTTTACTTTTAAATTGATTAGTTTAAGAAAGTTTCCAGGCCAACGAAAGAAGTCGAAGAAGGGAAGAGTGACGCAAGCCATTCATCATTTCATACGTATGGTTACTTGATTTTATTTTCCAGTTATAATTCTGTGAAACATTTGTATAATGGTGTTCTTTCGTTCAGATTTCAGATGTCTTTTGTTGCTAACTGTTGTAGTGCTAATTCAAAGATTGGTAAATTTAATAAGGCGCAATTTTCTAACGCTATCTGCCGATCTACACAACTTTAAAATTTTATTTCAAAATTCTGATTTAACTGGATGGGTTTGGGATAAAAATTTTTAGCATCAAACAAGAAAAACCATCGAAAAAGGATGCCGTTTCGTTGGTTGATGGTTTTGCTCGATTACGTGGACATGCGAAAACAAATTCGCTGGATCGTGGATTGAGTTTGGCAAAAAGCATGAAATCGGGTCCGTTTCCACCACGTAGTGATAAAAGTAATTCCTTGAAACGAGAATATTTTGCTGATTCTCCGTGTAGTTCACCCTATTTGTCGTTTGATGGCGAAGAAGATCTAAGAAACAGTGATGCACAGGGTGTTATTCATCAAATCACCTCCTCAATATTCAACGAACCATTAAAGTAAGTTGGTTTCTAAAATGTTACAACAGACTATTGTCGTAACTATTATTCAGAAAATTCTTTCTTATATGGATGCTTTTAAAAAATAGTACCGGACTCACGTAGCACGTTAATAAAATTGCGCCTAATGGAAGTTTACATGAAGCAAAGTTGTTCCTAATGAGTCCCATGTATATAGATCAAAGCTCACAAGAATGATCTGATAATTTTCATTGAACGATCAAATAATTTTCATTGATTCTACCTAATACGATTCAATGAATGTCTAGGTTTATCTTTTACGAGACTTCCATACTCGTATTTGCAATTCGTTTAACAATTTTGTTAAATAAATTGGGCCTTTGCTACATTGAATTCTACAGGAATCGAGTTTTTTTATAATCAGTTTAGCAAATGATTCTCGAGTAATTTTTCTCGGTCACTTCAGGGAAGAATTGTTGGCATTGGAATCACCTGCGCGCGGTATACCAACTGGTCGTTTGTCGTCGGTTGGAGAAGAATTTTCTACCAACTCTTCAATTTCCACTTCTTCCCCGAAAAGATCGATTTTAAACGATAGCAGAGTAGCAGACGATGCATCTCAGGACAAATTATATAAATTGCCAATTTCACTTTCAAAGTCTGTAAGTCACTCAAAATTGGTTGATGCTCTTATTTGTCTATATTTAATGCTTGTAAGTTGCAAAAAAAGCTAGTTATTGACGTTCACATAAATTTGAGCATATTACGCATTTTAAATTTTATCCAACATAACTAAAAAGTTGTGTTGGAATGAAATTTAAAAACTTTGTAGAACTTACTTTTGTTTTGAAACTGTTACTATTATAGGATTCAGATCCGTCATCTAAGGATTTTGCGGTTGGGAATCATTCGGAAACAGCATCGGAGCAAGTTTCCATGAGGAACGACTGTACTGCGCAAAATGCTGAAACTGAATATTCAGATCCGATAACTCGGGATGTGGAAAGACGTATGAGCATGAAGGGACATCAACAGATTTCTGGAGAGTTGGTTTTCATTCCGAGTTTGTGATGTCGAATAATAGCAGTACTTACTCAAAAATTAATATTTACTTAAAAACTTATGGTGGTTATTTCATAGTTTTCTGTTTTGGATGCAGGTCGGAAAATGGTCCTTCTTCACACATAGCTGCATCGTCGAGCGGTTTTGGTCGAGCAACGGGATTCGTTAAGGGATATGGAGCCTATGCATCTGAATTTTTTCGTGGTGCTTTCTTAAGAGCAAAAAGTGTCGTATCTTCAGGGTAATTGATTTATTTAAAGTGCACTATATAATACTTTGATATTTTTGTTTTAAATCGTTACTGTTTGAGCGCAACATCAAAATTCTCCAAAGAAGACGATGAAAGTTGTAATGAAAGTGATCATGAAGATTCTGCCATAGCTGAGGGTACTCCCATTGTACGGCCAAGGAATTCGAAGAAAGGACCATTTGATTTTGATGGAACACGTTGCTACCAAGAGCTAAACAACGAGCACACGGTTGATTTTTCTTTCATTCAAATAGATTTTGTTTTAATATATTTTTTAACGAACAGAAAAACCTGTCAAGTATTTTTCGTTTCCTCCTTAGCTAATGGTTCGATTAATTTAAGTTATTTCAGCTATTTAGAATACTTTAATGTCATCATGAAATAATACATATATGAAGTTCATTTAAAAATGGAATTCATTTGTTCCTTAAGATGAATGAAACACTGCTTCTTTGCTCTTTATGCTAGGTCTTGTACATTCTGTCGGGAAGCAATAAATCTCTAATAATGAATTCGATAAATTATTTGTATCAATAAACTTTAAGGAGGATTAAGAAATGTCTTACTGCTGTTAATGAGTTTGGGTATTCTATTAGCAATCTGTTAAATTCAGGGTGCTATATGGTGCATGAAATTTTCGTTATGTGGGCGTCTCTTGGCTACAGCTGGTCAAGATAGTATAATACGGGTTTGGGTGCTGCGCAATCATTTATCATATTTCAATGCCTTACGTGACCGTTACAATTCACATTCTAAAAAAATTTCAATGAGTATGGGCGAAAATGTGTTGCAAAGTGCGATGAAAGATATTGAAAATGATTTACGTTCTTCCTCTACTACTGTAAGTCTTTCAGCGGTCTATGAGCAAATAGTATTGATTGGTTATAAAACTTGGTAACTAATTTTTCGGTAACTTCTCCTTTATTGTGCACCTTACTGAGAAGAAACTATTTGCAGTTGTTTCTTAACGAGTAGACTATACTAAGGAAATACAACATATTTATTTTGCTTACTCTGAGTGTTGAGTGTTAATGCTAACCTTCAAATGTAGAGTCCTTTGAACTTTGTAATAATCAGACATATTTCCTGAACTAATGATTTATTAATGAGGAATTATCTCTTTGCGTTGTTTCTTTCGTCTTTTCAAATTCTGTTTTATTTTATAAATTTTGCAATATCTGAAATAAATTGAAGTTCTATGAGATTTTATGTAGAAATATCAGAATGGAAAAAAGAAGAAAAACAGCTTTTCTGTATTCTTGTTTTTTCCATACGGCTTACTAATTCGATGATAAATTTATTACTTGCTGTGTGTTATTGCTTATTTCAGAATAGTGCTTAACTTAATTTCTGAAAGACATTTCAGCTTGGTGAAAGCGCCGAATCATCCGCATCACACGACGATGAAAATAACTCCCTAACAACTGCTTTAATGGCATCAAAACCATTATGTACATATAGGAGTCATACTGCTGACGTATTAGATTTGTCATGGTCTCGTAATTACTTTATTCTGTCCTCCGGAATGGATCGTACTGTTAAGTTGTGGCATCTTTCTCGTCCAGAATGCCTTTGCTGTTTTCAGCATATGGATTTCGTTACATGCATTGCTTTCATGCCAAAGGTCCGGATTTCTGTTTCTATACTCATTAATACTCCTTTCCGGAATGTTATTAATAAATCTACGAAATTTTTTGAAAATTGTCTTACTTTTCACATTGCTAGTTTTTTCAGGATGACCGATATTTTCTTTCTGGATCATTAGATGGCAAACTTCGTCTATGGCACATACCGGATAAGAAAGTAGCTTTATGGAACGAAGTGGAGCAAGTAAAATTCATTACGGCTATCGCATTCGCTAAAAATGGGAAATTTGCGGTAGTAGGTACATACGATGGTCGTTGTTTTTTCTATACAACTGATCAACTCAAATATCATACCGTCATTGACGTCAGATCAAGTCGAGGCAAAAATGCTAGAGGACATAAAGTGATTAATTTTTCCGACATTTTTGCAACATTTTCCAAATTCAGTGAAAATAGGTGGTTAAAATCGACATTTTCCATGTATTTTCCTTAGGCATTATGATGAATCTTTCAGGTAACAGGCCTAGCTGTTCATGGGGATAAATTATTGGTTACTTCGAATGATTCACGTATTCGTATGTATGATCTGCGAGATATGGCCCTAACGTGCAAGTTTAAGGTACATTCAATTAAAGCTATATTTCCTTTTATTTTACTTTTTTTAATGCAAATTCTTAATTTTTCACTCAGGGTGCTCAGAATGAAAGGAGTCAGATCCGAGCTTCTTTATCACCTGATGGTAAACATATTGTTTGTGGAAGTGAGGATCGTTTTATTTATATTTGGACAACTGCTGATTTACCGTCCTCATTAGCTGTCCGCAAAGATCGTAACGATTCATGGCAGCGTTTGCGAGGTTAAATATTTGAGAATTTTTTTTTTATAAAAATTCTTAAAAAGACTGTTAGAAATTATAGCACGACTGAAAATCTAAGTTTTCTTTTGCAATTTTTGTTTGCGCATATAAGGTGTTCTAAATATCATGTTATAATAAAATGGTTTAATTTAACTGCATGGTGCTTACTATCGAAAGAGTGCCTCTGTGGTAGTGATTTACAGCAGTTTAGTTTAGAAATCGTTGAATAGTATTTTGAAAGATGATGCGAATACAATTAGATACTAAAAGTGAATTTGAACATTGTAATTTGATTTTAACAAACTTTCACATCTTCAAATGCTTCACTAGCAGACATAATCCTGAAAACCTTGTGTAATAACGAGATTGAGTCCTGTTGCCATCTTAGCGGCACAGATTGATCCATTTATTGATTTGCCTAACAAGTAATTATTGCTGATGAAATCTTAGGTCACTCAGCATGTGTAACAGTGGCAATATTTGCACCTCGTCCACAGCTGTTTCTAAACCTTCTGGAGCAACGTCGCAGTGGTGATGAGAGGAGTGAACAGCTGAAACCTAGCAAAAATATATCAGATCGACAAATTCACGGTGATGTCATCATTTCAGCCGATCTAAACGGTTCAATTCGTATTTTCGTGAACCGCACGAGGATTAAAGCTGGTTCGTCAAATTTTTTTCCCACCGATTAATTCTTTGAAAATCTGAGTTTCTTTCGAGTTTAGATTTGACTTCAGCTTCATCATGTTTACCAGACGTTGACGCATTTCTGATCTCTTTCCCGAATTTATATAACAAGTATTTAACAGTTTAATTCCATCGTTATTGATTGGTTGGTTGTACTTATTCTTCTTAATCAGCCAAAATCAAAATTGGTATTTTGACTTAGGACAAATGTTTGCTATGTTCTGTTATGTTACTCATCTCAAATTGTCCATATATTCAAGATAGATTCATCTGTTTTGCAAGTAAAATGTAACTCTTTTTCAGTATCTCTCATGTGTTTTCTCATAATTGCTGTATATAATGTTTTCTATCTCTGTAGATAGTGTTTGCTAATTTCCATAGATTGATATGTATTTGTTGTTTTCAGTTTTTATATATTCTGATGTATATGTTTACAATTATTAAAAAAGGATTTAAATCGCTCTTGCTGATTAGATAAGAATGATACATTTAGTATATGTATAGGAAATGATACATTTAGTATATATATTTCCTTGAAGTTAAATTTTATACAAACATTGGAGTAATACCAGTATTTTGAAAAAGACATATGAAAGAAAAAAAAAGCAATAACAGTTTTAGAAAAAGACATATGACCGGGCAAAAAATCATATGCTGGATGGTGTACGAACATTGATAGTAATTTAATCGTTTCTAATTAGATGAAAAATTCATTTCATCTAGTTTCACCTTTTGCTGTTGACTAAGCATTACGGCCTTTGGCATTTGCCTCTGTTTATTTTTTAGGATATAAATTCATAAGTTGTTTATTTAATATCGCAGTACTTCCATGAACAGTCGTTATTCTGTTACGAGTATCCAATGTGATCGTGCCTTACTGAAATAAAATAATGCATGCAAATTTTATGTCTTTTTCAGGTTATTTCCTGAAGAAAATATTTTTAATTTTTTTCCCAACATTCAAAAAAAGAATAAGCTTGGATTTTTCATACTTTTTCGCATAAGTAATACTTTTGCATTAGTGTGCATATCCCTCATCATATTGCACATGCTTATGAAATGTATTTTCTCCAAATCGAAGTGTTAAATCTTTGAGTAGAATGGATTTATTTTCATCACGATATTCTAATTTCCATGAGCAAAAAATCGGTTATGATAATATCCGATATTTTCGAAGTAATGTGCTTTTTGGGCATTTTGTGTTTCTTTATTCAAACTGTAACACACAATCAGTCTAAAAGTGTTTGCTTAAATGAGCTAATGCAATTAAAAGTAGTGTCACTGGACTTTAATGTTATGGTGACTTTTTGCTAATTCTTCAGTCTTTGTTGGAATGTTATAGAAATTGCATTTATGCTCCGATAATAACCATTTGAAACTCTGTAGTTTAATTAAATTATGAATAATTGCAGTTTGCAATTGATGTCTTCTTTTCGGCATTTCTCGTCAGTGTTACCAAAGTTGAATATATCATGGCATCGAATAACTGCTTCCGCGCGCTGCTTGATAAGCTCTAATCCAACTGATACCGCTAAAATAATCCCATCTGCATTAGATAACAATGACTGTTCGGCTGTCGAAAGTGGAGTTCAAAGTGTAGTCTTGGACGCCACTGTTGAAGAACAACCTATTTTACCTTACAGTCAAAAAGCACTGGAAACATTGAAGTGAAGTTTGACAAGTCGTTAAATTTTAAACGAACTTAGAATTTTTATACCAACTATTCTTAATAGCTATCTTAAGGTTTTTGCTGAAATAAAATTTCGCTTTAGTTATACATTATTTGTTCAAGAGATCGAAGCAACTGTAATGCAGGAATGGGGATGAGTTCGGAATGAAAATGATTTCAACTATATTTCTATTTAGTTAACTTTGGTTATTAGGTCTGATGGTTTTAACTTTCTGCAGGCTAGACAAATATCCTTACTACGTGGAACGGGAATGGTGGAAACATGGTAGCAGGATGACATTTTGGTCAACTTGGAGAATGAAGAGAGATGTCAAAAGACGACATTTGCTTGCTGAACTTGGGCCAGATCGTGTCCGGTTGAAGGCACTAAAATGTAATACTATATTGCCGGAACTGATTAGAGATGAATGTGCCAAAAAATTGCATAATTTTCCTAAAGGATCGTGTCCGAGTCTCATTCAACATTTGTGTCAGTTTAGTGGTGCACGGCGTGGCAAATTGAACAGATTTCATCTTCATCGACAAATTTTCAGGCATTTATTTCGTATAATTTATTGTTAAGTAAACAAATATTAATGATTTCACTTCTGGATAATCAATTTCTTTCATATGAAATACTTCAAATAAAATTTTGAGTTATAAATTTGCAGTCGTGCTTTATCCATGAATTAAAAATCGATTTATAGCCAAGTAATGATCTAACCAATGATAAAATAAACGGGATATTTTATTGGTCCATATCAAAAATGCAATCTTAAAGTAATGTAATAATCACATGCTTTTGGTGGTAATGTTGATATTTTAGGCATCTTGCTGATCATGGTAAACTATCCGGTATACAGCGAGGAGTTTGGTGATAAATGTGCTTTAGATTGTTTTGCTGTCATTTATTTTCTTGAATAAAAATAAATTGTATTTTTTTTATGCCCGCTCGGTTTCTAAAAACACCCGGAAAGATTTTTTCAACGTTACAAGCACTCGTGATATACTTCTAATGAATTTCGTGCATAATTTCATGTATCTCTTACGGAGTTGTTTGGTTCTTTTTACTGCTTCGATAGAGTGCAAGTAGTAACCAAAGTAGATTTCAGGTCACTGAACATGGCTAACGTTTGTTCGATTTTATCGACTCTGTATGTTTTGATTCAAGGTAATAATTATATTTCGTTTTGATATTGATAAAACCAACTTGACAAAATATAAAACCAACTTGACAAAAACTAAAGTTCTAAAGAATTAAAGTTCGTACTTTTTGTCAAGTTGGTTTTATATTTGCAAAAATTACTTTTATCCGCATTCCAAACAATTTTTTTCAGGATCATTATGTACTGAACTGTATTTCTTAGCCTCTGAATCAGTAGAACTTCCGGTCTCCGCTACAACTTTTTTGTCTAAAACCGACGTTGTGCAAGCCAACAAATACATTCTAGGGCTGACGGCGGAGGCTCCTCTAACATGGACGAGTAATGGAAATATTTTCAAAAGACCACGAGCATTAGCAGTTGGTCGGTGTTTTTTATCCGATAAAGAAAAAGTTTCACCGTTTGAGATGGCTGAATTCTCGGAAAATTGGTTTTCATGTGCTAAAGTTTAATTTAAAATTTGTTCACTTTCAGTTACTGTCATTGATGGGAAAGCTTTTAATAACCCCTTATCATCTGGATATGCTGTGTCGACAGATGACGAAGATTTCAATCATGAGGAACTGGTGAACAATAAAATATTTGCTGATGAAGGACAGGAATGGATTCTGATGCGTAATGCAGGGTTGGAAGGTTCACAGATTGCTTCTGATGCACAGAATACTTTCTCAAAAATTGAAGTCAAGACGAAAAGCAAACCACTGCGGCAGGAAATTGAAAATCTTTATAAAATTTCAGAATCGGTAAAATGTCGAAGATTGCAGTCCTTAGCACTTCATAATATCATAAAGAAATAAGAAATTGTTATTCAACCAACACTACCGGTGGTGAGGTAAAGATTTAATTGAAATCATGTAATGATTTGAATTAAATCTTTATCATCCACTTATCGGGAAGATTTATGTTTTCCAAATAATGAATATTGTATAAAATAAAATAAAATGCAACTTTTTAGTGCTGAAACCAATTTCTGATGCATTTTAAATATAGCCTAGTATTTCATGTAAAAACTTCTAGTTTCCAATTTTTAGATTAGTAAGTCGAAAATTGCTCTAACTAAAAATACTCCAACAATTTTCATCATCGATGTGAAGGGTTTGCCAACCGCTGAACAAGAATTATCCAAAGAAGAGTATAAACGAGCTGTCGACGAGTTGGAAAATGCTATCTGGCATTTAATTTCTGTGTTGAAAAAAATATATAATGATCGTGTGATTGCGGAACTCATTATGGAATCGATGTCTGAAATCAAAAGAAGGCAGAAAAGACAAGTAAAACCTTTGTCATAAAATTTGAATTTTTAAATATTTCTAAATAAGATTCCTGTTTTGAATCTTCATAACTATTTTAGTTTTATTCAATATCTTTTGTACTGAGACCAACTTTATGCGAAATAAAGAAAGAGGTATTTCTAGATCTTTTTTTGCGCTGAGCTTAATAGGTGAAAATTTTCATGATTATAGAAAAATTCAACTCCATAATTGATGAGCACCACTAGCAACATTTTGCTAGCATTTCGATCAATGAAGTATATTTATCCACTTCTAGGATATTTTTTACTTGCAGAAAGAAGAAGAGTAGAAACTGAGTGGCAGGACATATCCCACCTTTTCGTTTTCCTTCCCAGTATCAGTTTTTTACAAATATAATTTAGTAATTTTTGAGGGAATAGCTTTATAAATTCATTTAATGTTATTGATAATAACGTACCGGTATAAGGTTTGTCTGTATTAAACTATTTGCTTCAATATGCACGGCACTGTAGTCATGCTTAGTAATCTTTTCTGGCTAAGGGATGAAAAATATTGCTGTTAATTTGTGGTTTTGTCAAATCTATTCATTTTCAGAACCCTGACCGAATAATGAAATTACGGAAGAACCTTAATATTTATCAGGTTTTTGTGTTCATTTGTTTTTTAAATAATGTCTTAGCTGGAGTAGTTTTTTATTTTTTAGTTGTTGCTTTTATTGTTCATTTGTTCAAAACTAACTATTGTAAAATAGATTTGAGCATTCAGTTGCTTTTAAGCGAACACTAGTTGGGAGATGAACTACGCATTTTCTTTCATACTTGTTGATAACTACAAAGGATTTCTCTGTTGATACATAGCAATTTCCTATGGATTTTCAGATAATGTGATATTTAATTTTTGGATACATTGCAATATTAATTCTTCAGCATCAGAATTTTTTTTATTGCTCCGTTGATATCGTATGTGGAGCTTGTCATTTGAAATGACTTGAAAGATCTGACATTTAATGTTAAACTTGATAACAATTTTTTAACTATTTCGATAATTTATACCTTCGAATTTCACCAATGTCAATTTTTGCAGTTTTCATCGACCAGTTATCCAGCTATGTTTGGAATATTTTTGCTTGTAAGTGTTGCGCTTTCATTAGCCATTCTCCTCGTAGCTGTTGGTTTGTGGAACATGGATCCGGGCAAAGATTCAATTATTTATCGTGTGGCAACAACTCGGATGAAGAAGGATTAGTGGTCATCAAATTACCGCCATATTCTTATATAATTTACCGTTTTGTAAAGATTTCCAAAAAATCAAAGTAGAACAATTCTTCAAATAAATTACAATAGCTTTGTCAATTAGCAAGTTATAGTTGTTAAGCTTCATTTTACATTTATTTGATCTGTGATATTGTTCCGACAATTGTTACTAATTAAGACACTGAGCAGCATAGTCATACCAAAATAAAGAAATTCTTTTTCTTATTCTTTTCTTGGAAACCTTTGAAGATTTGGGAATATTTGAATGTATTAACGGGCAGCCACTTATACCGAATGCTAAGTGTCAGTTTCATTTTTATATTTTGTTTATTTATAGCAGCTATAGAAAATGAATTTTTTTCCCCAAACTTAGCGTTGTGAATATTTAAGTTGTGAATTTTGTAGGTGTATCTCTTTAATATTCTTTCCATTTTTTAGAAAATTCTTGTCCAAGCTTTCAAATTTTGGCTTAGAATTTTTTAAAGATATTTACGTTGAACTGTTGTTAACTTTCCGATATTTGAATACTTAATGCACCTATACAAAAAGAAACATCGAAACCTCGTCACATTAGTAAAGTTTATTGGCTGATATCAGGGGTGAATTAGAGCAACCAGTGTATACAGTATCTTGCATCCTTTACGTTTAATTCATCAATTGATCTGTTCTAATCACTTTGTTTTTATTTTCGCTTCATAACTGTTACGATATTAATATGTTAAAAAGTATGTTTTACTGCAATATTCTAGTAACTTAGAAAAACATATTCGTATAAAATTATAATAAAATACAAATTAGCACAGGAATATTTGAAGCGTTCTTATTACAAAAAGACACAACATACAGTATATGAGTGCAAATAAATATGTCTTAAACATTTGTTCCACTTTTTTCTATGGCGGTTTGTAGAGCTATAATTTCAATACTTGATTGAAACAACTCTTATCATCAAAAAAAGTTTCGTCATGGTTGGAAGTTAATTTTCGTAATTTAGCTTTGTGGAACTTGGAAAATAAACGGTATTTTAGGTTCATTTTTCGAGGTTAATTCTACAGATAGATTTTGGAAGAGCTGTCCTGAAAGTTGTCTTTTAAATATTTGCAATTAGATTGTGTTATGAATATTAATCAAGATTCCAATTTACTGATAAGGAATCAGGGTCTTGAATAGACGATATTCTTGCCCAAATAGCACTTTTTTACTAATTAATACTTGGCACGAAGATAAAGTGAACGTTTTTTCATTCCTAAAGTCTTTCACAGTAAAGAGATGTTTCGCTTCGTGAACGCCAGCTTATATTTGATGAGTGGTAAGGTGTCAGGGGAGAGAATGACACCTGTTGTGTAAAATGATTTAGTCGTTTGTGTCCCGGACCGCCACGACTCTCTCGTTCTTTCCGGAAATATGCTGGATTACGTAATCGGTCCAAATCACTTAGATTCAGAAGACTTCGACCTTTTTCTTTTCTCTGCTATAAATTGAAATTGGAAAGTTTTTCAAAACGATCTGTGAAAAAGTCGAATTCTTCAGAGAAATATTGTAATAAAGCCGAACAGTCATCACTGAATCCTATGCAAAAAGTATTTGAAAGAGATTTGCATGAAATATCAATTCAGTGATTAATAATGCCAAATGGAGAATACTTGCATTTGATGCAGTATATATTGCTTTCTTCTTGGAATGCAATTTAAAGTGTATGCGTGGGATACAAACGTAATTATGCAAGCATTCACGTGGCATAACTTTGAAACTCGTTCAACACGTTATACATGTTTTTTAAAAAGCTTACGATAATATTTTTCGAATTATTTTTGCTTAATTTCTTTTCCAATTAATGCACTTGAGGTTCAGTTTATCACATTATACATTAAAATGGATGATGATTTATGTCTTCTATCTCACAAATTATCTTTAAATGATCTCCACCAGATTTCTTTTATAGTTAAAAATTGTTTTTGATACTTCATAGTTCTGAATTATTTCCTGTTAATTTTACAACTCATAGTTCGACCATCTATTCATCAACTTTGTAAAATTAGATTTCAGAAAAAATGAAACAAAACCAAACTTCCTGTTCAGGATTTCTAACATTCCTTGACGACGAATATACATTTGGTTCTCGGTTAATTTTCTTGTAAGCACCACCACGTGATCTGAATAACATGAATTATAATTCCAATTTCATTCATGCAGGACTCATTCTAATTATTGCTTTTGGTCTTAAATCAAACTTTAAGAAATAGCTTGCCTTAATTGTCGATTCCAATAAGGAGAGCTGACTCCTAAGTAATGAGAAGAGGAGCTGGAACTGATCGACGAAACAGTCCGTTCATTGCAGTTTGTGTCCGCACTACTGGATTGTGAATAGCCATCACACTGGTTAATGCTTTGAAGTTCAGTACTTGCTGCTGGTGACGGTGTATTTGAAACTGAAATTAAGCTAAATTTTGAATTTCATTCCAGCAAATTGAAGAGAATATGGTTTAAATGTTTACTAGACTATTGCTTCTGTCATAAATTGTATTTAATGCATCTATCGATTACTTTTATTGGTATCGAGGAATAAAGAAAATTTCTCGCCGATTTTTTCCAAAATATATATACCTGAATTACAGGGAAGCAAAATTTGGATCATTTCAAGCGCTGCAAGATGTATTACAGCAAACCATAAAGATGACGATAGAGGATCTGTTGGCTTATCAACCTGAAAATAATTCCACAATTTTATAATTTGTAATATCATAACAACTGAAAATTATGCAATTGAAAAATTATCCCAATACTTGTACAATTCCGGAATGTAGTCTGAAATACCGGTGTAACTATAATATTCGCATTTCAAGTGCCCTGAATTTAATCGAATTAAAAAGTATATCGAACGTGTGCGTAAGTGATTGCCATCCGACTATATCGATCACGTGCAACTTCATCAAAATTGCTATGTCGTAAAACGAATTCTTTGAGAACTTTCAAATCAAAAATCTAAAATTTGCTTATTTTAAATTGATAATTATGTGTAAATTTATATTATCTAAAAAAAAAAATTTATATTTATCTTTTCTATTGCAAATGTTATAGTATTTACTTTTGAGTGTAATTGTAACGAACATATTTAATTTCTGCTCTATTTGAATAACTAATGACACACATGGCATAAACCTCTTCAAAACTGTATCATATCCATAGCGAATATAATACATTGAATTAATACTATTAAATCTTGGTAATTTTATGAAAAAATTTCCTTCTCACTTTGATTGGATCATTTTTAACAATAATCTCTCCAAGTATTCCTTTAACGAATACACTTCCTTCCGTGCATTTAAGCCAAACATTACCAACATCGTCAATTTTCATCTTTACACCCTGAAAAATTGCTGTTTTATAATATTTAAAAAAAGCTTTTTGTTTGTAAATTAAAAACTCATTACTGAAAAATCAATCTCAACAATACATTTTTCTTCTGAATTAATGTTATGTTTTCAAAATGAAAATTGGTGCGGTCTTTTTAAATATTAAAATTTGTAAACTTATCGCTTGAAAATTCAAATCAAGTTATCCATAAAACAGTGATATAGTAGCAATATTAGCAACGTTTGCTATGAATTCTTAAATTCATTCTTGGAAATTTTCAAATGTCAAATAAATGAACTTCAAATGACTTTTTAAGAAAATTTTATGAAATGAAACAGTTATTCTTATCCATTAAAGTCCTAATAAGACATACCAATTATGGGGTAATGAAGACAAACATGGAATTTCATGCTAAACTTTATTGGCTTTTTCGTCAATACTGATTTATTGATTAGTTAGGCATTTTTCAAAGAAGCCTATATTGAATTTGAAATTTTGCATACTTTTCCGAAAACTTCAAATGCTCTGATCGTGCCATCATCACGACATGAGTTTTCAAATCGTTGTAAGCCAATTCTACAGCAGAAAAAACATTGTAAATTTATTTAGAATTTCATAAAATAGAATCACACCAATAGCTAAATTAAAAGAAAATTATATAAATGTGATAGAAATAAAAATGTTTCTAAAACAAATTCATAAATATATTTTCTTGAAAAGAAGAGAAATTGCAAATTTTGGAAGGAATAATAATCAGATATCAACGTGCATTTGTCTTTTATATATATTAAATCTATTAAAAATTCAATATGTCGTTGAATGGGAAAAAAAACTAGTTCTTCGTATTTAAATTTGAATGGAAACAAGTTATTGTATCGAATCTTTTAGCGTTGAATTGAAATTATTAAAAAAAGGTGCCTCAATCCATTATAATAATCATAATTATGTTTACAATGCGGTAATTATCAATTGAAATTATGATTAACTGAAAAAGGATAAAGTTCTTGAAGTGAATGTATTTTTATCGAATCTATAGAGTCAATCATATTCAATCAATTTTAATGATATGCTACTGTACACCCAAGAACAATATACTTTTCATTTTCTTTTAATTGAAATACATCAATTCTATTCCTTCACTTTTTAATGTATTTCATTTGTTAATATTTATATAGAACATGGAAATGAGAAATGATTTTAATAACTTCAATGAATTTTACTATTAGTTCAGATTTCCGACAGTAAGAACGCAAATTTTTACACCAAAATCTGAAAAATGAATTCAAATTTTGATTTAAGTAAATAAATTCCATACTAAAAAAAAAGGAAATCTCTAAACTCTTGACGCATCAACTGGTTGTTGTGCTGTATTAAATGTTCTTGCAAGTTAATAAATAATTTTTCGAATAATCGATTAATCAGGTAAAGTAAAATGGTTAATCCAAGAACTCATCATAAATTCTACTGGAGAAGTTAATACTTGGCCATATCACCTGCTAAGTTTGAACAACAACAGATGTTTTCGTACGTCACGGAACTTTACCTCGGTGAAAATAACCATAGTTTCAAATTTAAAAACTTTCTTTGGCTTAAAAAATAACTTTATGAATAAATTTTGGTTGGAAACCTAAGTCCGGATTTAGTTTAAATGAGAAAGAAAAATTTACCGAAGACCGTCAAATTCAGAATCACTTCCGTCAATTGTGATGACACGTGATCGAAGGTATGCCTTTGCAGAACGAATATTCCTTTCCATTACAATTACTTTACCCCAAATTTGTTCCTCAATATTTGAAAGTTTCCGATAGACTTCCATAATATTGTCCTCAAATATTTATCATTTAAATAATATTTTAATTGAATGAATATTAATTAATGTCATAAAAAGATGCATGAAAATATTGAATGAATTTTTAAAATTTCCAATTTCTTCAACCAATTTTTAATTCAGTTACGTCAAAATTTTACGATCCAAACTTAGATTGCAACATTTAAAAATTGTTGGTTTAAAAATTCACAACGATTGACTTACTCGTTCAAAGGAGTCGATATCATTCCAACTTTGTGAAATTCCCAAAGCTGTGGTGGTAAGTTGACCATGGTTATTATTGAGAAGACGTTCGATCAAAATTGAACGACAAAATGCCATTAATTTCTTTTTCACTAGAGAGAATATAATGATGAACTAGATAATTGATGGAATATAATGCTTCAGTTCAACTGATCTCAATTTAAAATAAATTACTAAATTCAACAAATTTTCAATTTCCACGAAAGTCATATACGTAGCTTTCAATCTTAAAAAATAATTTATAAAATAAATGTTGTAAACAAAAAAATTCATAGGAGCCTTTTCAAATACCCAAATTGTAAATGTTATAAAACTATTAGCAAAACAAAGAGAAAGAGAAATGGTTGCGAATTATGAATAATATAAAGAAATTTGTAAGAGGACGAGGATAGGCAAGAAATCTAGTTAGATTCGGTGTGAAGGGATAGAAACCGGTATCCTCAACGATTCAGGTTCTCTTTAAATTTATTAAATGCTTCAATGGAATAATTCAACGATGCAGTTACGTAGCAAACACTAATCTTAAAAAATAATTTATAAATTTTCAACATTTAAAGTTTTCAATTATTGAAGGAGAAATAAAGCTTAGCAATATGTTTGTTACAATTTACAAGTAAACTAAATGGTATTACACAAATTTTGTCAGCAAATGCTTTACTATTGCAATCTTCAAATATACTTTAATGAAAAGGTACGTACTCGAAATGAAATGAAATGGATTAATAAGTGCTTAAATTAAATATGCACTCTATATGTCGATTAATAAGAAATAAAGAAATTGATATAACTCAAATGAATTAAAAACTGGGAAGTAAATCAATTAAACCGAAGTGTTGAAAGAACAATAAAACTTTTTATTTTAAAAGCATTTGAGGTGAATAATTTTCCGGTTTCTCACAATATATTTACTATTTAATAACTCGATTTTTTTTGTCGTATCATTTAATTTAAGGTTTTGTAACAGTTTACAATTTTTATTTGCAATTACTTTTTGTAACGATTGATAATTTTCGACATTTTATCAAATAACTCGATCAATTATCTGAATTTGCAAGCAGAAAGAGTTGAAAAAATTTTAAACAAAATCACTGCACGTTTTTTGCTACGAAACTAAATTTGTGGAAATAAGATAAATTCAAGCTAATCCGTGAAGAGAAAGAAAAAAGATTTTTCTTTTTAAAAAACGAAACAATGAAATTAATTGGACTAAAAGTGATCCGAACAACACTTGGAAAAAAAATCCTAATTAAGAATTTGATCATATTAACATTGAAATAGATTGTAAACGAGTCAGAAATAGCGTTGCAAACTGCCAGTAGGAAGGATAATAAGAATCGTTATTTTTAACAATTTTTGAAATATTTTTGAACTTTTTGAACAGATTATCCCGATATCATCATATTAAATTGCAATTGAGATAGATGAGACGATAGGAATGAAATTTCATTTATTTAATGATCTACGTGAACCCAAAATACATCATTATAACAATCTACAAACTATTATAAAAATTCAGATTTATGCAAAGAGATGATTGAACTTTTGCATTAAACCAATATATAAGTGTGTAATGGGATATCTTTACACAAATTATACAATTTCGTTATTCCGTTACAAAAAACTGCAAAATTTTCCAAAATTGCTAGTTATGTAAAAAGTCACAATTATTTCAAGAATTTCCATGTCTTTTTTGCGGTTAATTGCAAGATTCCTGAAATAATACCATTCGATTAGATCATAGGCATATCGAATAACATTGAACATACCTTGAAAACATCCTTCAAAAGATTTATAGAACAGATAATCTGATCTGAAATATAAGTAAAATATAGAGTCAAGCAAGCATTTTTAAATTGCTTAAAAGTTATCTCTGCAAAATTCATCTAAATTTGATAAGACAACAAGAAAGATACCATAAAAGTATTAGAATTCTCTTATCAAATAAATTCCCTCAAATTTTAGTATGGAATTTGCAATTATTAGAATATGAAATTTCCACCAATTTTCTTTTTCATTGACCATAACATTAGCATTCTTTTGAAAGTAAAAAAAGAAATGAAATTTGGCAAATTTAATTGAAAGTACTCAATAATTCTAGCAAAACTTTAACTACATGAACTCAATGTTAATCTGACATTTGGGGTCATGACCTTTGCGCAATCTAAAGCAATATTTCTGCTGAGATTCAATGTTTGAAACTGAATCTAAAATAGGAAATCAAGAAAAGATTTGAAATTAGAAAATAAAAGTAATCTAAATAACATTTGGTAACATTACGCAATTTTGTATAACTCAGCACTGGTCCTTCTTCCATATTTTTTAGGCTTAATTATACAAGGGCCTTTTAATTAAGTTCCAATTCATTATTCACTTGCGCATACATTTTAAAATTCCGCTTCCGTAGCTTTTCTTTGTATTACTTTCAATATAACTATGATTTTAAATAAATTTAAACATTGTACGCATAGAAAAAATATTGCGGCAATTTGTACAAATTCATGAATCCAAATATTGTTACGATGCTTCTAAACCATTCTTATGAATCGTGCTTCTGAAGCATCGTAGCATTTGCGTAATTACGATATTTGGATTCAAGATATTATCAGTCAATTTTTGTATCGTTTGCAGCAGAACAGCAACACTTCAGATACCAAGCAATATTTCATTTCATACTTCAATAAGTTTCAAAATTAAAATATTCGGATTACATAAGACTATTGTCTTAAGGCTATTATATCGTCAATTATATTCTTGGCTAAATTTACAATAACACATTAATTTTCGAGTATGCAAAGACGATTGTTTTGATTTTTTATTCATTCACACATTAGTCGTTTGAGAAAGATAAATTAATTCTATACGCTCATTTTTCAAAAGTTATTTACCAAAACTTTGAAAAACATCGATTCATACTAAACAGTCTCTCTTGAACCATTGAAAAAAATGAAAAGAATTGAATAAATTGAAATTGCTGCATTCCAATGATGAATCAGTCCTGTTGTATATTCATCATAATCGGTGATACATGACAGCCTCAAAGGTCGGTCCCGTGCTTTGGTCTTTCCTTTCTAATAATAATTATCAAATTCAACATTTATTTTATTTTATTTTTTTTTGCAAATCATAAAGTTTACATTATTCATGTTATAAATTTTAATGAAGAAGTATGTGTTGCATAACTTTTACTGATAGTCGATTGAACTGAGATGTCAACATTTCAGCGATAATGAGACTAAAATTAGATGACAAATAGCAGAAGAAAGAAAGTGAAAAAAGGATGATTACATTTAGTGATAGATGGAATTTTAAAAGCATGAATTTACTAACAAGGAATTACTAAAGCGAAATTCGAATTTTGATTACTTCTACAACTAATACTTTTCCACGTTTCATCGCGTTTCGTATCTAATATTACATGTTCTAAATTGCTGTAAACTATTAATTTCCCTTGAAAATATATTATATTTTAAATGAAATTTAGCAAAACATAAAATTGATCGGAACACAAAGAAGCCGAATAAATTTCGAAATTATTAAATATTGGGAAAATAAAATGCTAAAGGAAATTGTATTATATAGAATGCAATATCGAACTATCAATAATCAAACATTTATTAATACATTTTGAACAACAATAACACTAAGTTTTTTACTTAACTTTATCATTTTTTGCTTAACTTATTTATAATAGACAATAATAATTTTCGGACATAATTTTCAATTTATTTCCGCTTTATTTAATTTGTTATATGTTACTTGAATTAGTGAAATGTGAACATTTTCTAAGCTTTAATTTACTTGCATTAATGCTTTCGAGCAGAATAAAATTTAATTGCTCTTAAAAAATAGCATAGTGAAAACTTTATCATCAGAAACGAAGTAAAAACTTCCCGTGATATTTCTAATTTTATTTCCAAAAGTTTTTTACTTAACTTATTTATAATAGACAATAATTTGATATTATGAGCAAAAAAATGATGCACATCATTGAATTTTATAGTAAGCTTTGAAAATATTTAGGACACATGCCAGGCCTAATAAAATATTTATGTTGACTTTTCCAGAGGTCATCGGCCTCATTTTGTGCCAAAGAAAAAAGAGCAATAGAATTAATCTTTTCAGAGATCATCAGGCTTTTTTGGTAGATGTAAGGAAAACGGAACACAGTCATTTATTTGGAATATGTTCTGCAATACGGTGGAAAGAAATAACATTATTTTCCTCTTTCGTAGATAAATTGATGTTTAAATTGTTCAGCGTATGATAAATCAAAAAATTTCCATTTCTTTGTACTCATCATTTTACAGCAATTAACAGTAATGCAATAATGCTATGTTATTGTGATCGTTATTTCAAGATGAATACTTTAAACAATTCTTACCCGTCAATAAAATTTTTTTACTTATACAATAAAATTAAAATAATTCCAGCAATCCATTCCATCCGAACAATCTTACTGCAATATATTATCTTTGTCTTTTACAGAGAAATTTTGTAGTCAATAAATGAATGAATGTTTTCT